ATTTTAATAAAAATTTATAATTCAAATTACATGATATCTTGTGTTACAGAGATAGTGATTTTTTGATTTATTTAAAAAATAATAAAATCATGGTAGATTTACAAAATAATTAAGTAATTAATTATTAAAAATAAAATAAATAAATATGTTTTAAAATGAACTAATTATGAAAAAGTGGAAATGCAATTTACAACAAGTGAAGGAAAAAAATTATCACTATTTTGAGCAGAAAGATCCAACCACAAGAAACAAAATAACTTTATGATTTCATGAACCCTAATCCCCAATCTTCTTTTTGGTTCTAATCATTCAAGATTTGACATATTTCTCAATCACCCACTACTGTTTTCTAGCTGTCCATTGATCAATCACCATAATGAAGATGAAAGTTTTATTCTTTTCTCAAAAATTTTCAATCTTCTTTTCTCCATAAGAAATAAAATTATTCCAACTTATCAGCATTTCTTGATGTTTATAAAGATGATTAATGGTTAATTAAGTCCCAAGCAAAGGATGAATGAAAAAAAAAAAGAAAGAGAAAAAAGGAAATGGCAACATGTCATCAAGAAAGCTGTGCTGTGTGTCAGTTCTGGCGTGCATAGATGAGCAAAGGTGATTGGAGTGTGTTATTAATGCGATTCTCATAAAACAAAATCAAAATCAAAATCGAAGTTTTCAACTTTCTCTTCACAGATATTAATAAAGAGGGAGTAACCCAGAAAAGTTAAAGCAAGAATTTGTACTAGAGTGAGAAAAGCAGTGTAATTACACAGATAAAAACATTTATTTATGTAGCAAAGCAAATTGTTCAAATGAAGATTCTGAAACAAGGCACCGGCCCATTTACTTAAGAGGTAAATTCTTTAGGGTTTGGTCTTGTGTATTTTATGGAAAAGAGTTGGTTTTTACCATTGATTGGATTGGTGATGTTGGAGGGTGACTTACTGTTCGTCCATGAATTTGTTTAATCTTCATCTTGTAGAAAGCAAGGTTATTGTAATGGTAGTTTCTGTTTCTGGGTAAGTTTTTGTTTCCCCTTTGAGATCTGTCTGATTTGTTTTGTTGAGTTTTCTTCCTCTTACAAGTTTGGATTTTTAGGGATTTTTAAAGCTGGTTTCTTTTGGGTTGTTTGATTTTACTCAATACTTGAAATGGGTATCTTTTTGTTCTCTACTATTGTTTAATGTAATTACTTTGTTACTTCGTCAATAGAGCTCTTTAGATTTGACAAACGCCTTATTGGTTTTGTTTGGGTTTACACGGAGAGTGGCTTTTGGGGATTGTCTTTATGTCCCCAAATCGATTATTTGAGCAGTTTCTTCATATGGGGGTTTTGGGGTTTTTATACTTTAAAAAACCACTGTAAGATCTCTTGCCTTTTCAATTATTTAAGTAGATTGTGTGATATATTCTGGTAGATTCCTTAGATTTCAGCTCTAGTTTGTAGTGATTTTCTTGTTGGTAGTTGCTGTTTCATTGTTCATTACTATAATAGTTTTTACTCTGTGATCTTCCTCATTTATTCCCATACTTCTGCTGAGGATTAAAAAAAAGAAAGAAGATGCTTGTTGTCTACCGTTTTGGTGGTTTCTTCAACTGATACCAAGATGCTGTTTTCAGTTGCAGGTTTTCAAACTTCAACGGTTGGAAAAACTATATAAAATTATACTGATTTGGATGTGTAAAAATTGGAACTTGAAGCTTGAAGCTTGAAGCTTTAAGGCAAAAGGGTAGGTCTTAGTGATAAGAATTCTTTTAAGCTTTAAAATAGAATAGGCAAAACAAGCTAACAGAGTGTTATCAGATAGAAAAATAAAGAAATAGTTTGGCAGTGTGAGTGGATTCAGATTTGTGCTTGTGGGTCTGGTTTTGAGGAATTATTTAGTCTAGAGGTCTTTCAGTTGTCCCCTGGAGTGACTTGCCACCTCCGGGCTCCGTGGGCTTTGCCACAGACCAAGGAAACAATCTCTTCTTTGGCTCTCTTGCCATTCAAGAGAACCTTTTCTTATAAAATTCACTAAAAGTTCCCATCTTGCATTGTCAATTTCTCTCTCTTACTTGGACTCACTTCCTCGGTTGCTGTCAAGATTCGGTCATATGCTTCGTCGCATATATCCTTCCCCTTCTTTTTAGATCCTTCTTTACTCTCTCTTCAAACCCAGAAAGTTAAGTCACTCACATTTCAGAAACTTGGTCCCCACACTTGGGGCATCCCTTTCTATTTTGGGGAACTTTCTTCTTGATTTTGGGTTTGTAAATTTTATTATGGGGATGTGAGGTGGTGAGCGCGAGGTATTTGGTTTTAGCAGGAGTGATCGGTTGGTTGGCGAGGAAGGGTATATTTCTGAAATCTGAGATTTCAGAGAAGGCATTTCTGGTTTCTCAACATGAAGTTTATGAAACTTGGATCAAAGCCAGATGCCTTTCAGACTGATGGCAACAATGTTAGGTACGATACTACTTCATAACAATCTGTACTTTGAATTCTTCCAAAACCGTAATTGTTGCTTGTGTGATTTGGATTCTTATCTCTTTTAATTGGTTATGTTTATTGAAACTGGTCCGTTTCCTCTTTTATCTGGGGTACCCTCTTTTGGTTAATTAATGCTTAACCTAAGGCTTGTTGGGGCTGCATGAAACCGGATCCTTTTTCTGGAAAATGTGTACTGGGACAATACAATGAGCTTAATTAAGTGTTTGAAATAATCTTCGAGATTCTGAAGTGCTTGCTAGATGCTAAAAATCTCATTGCTTGGTGAAAATATATATCTTTGAATCTTGAGAAAAGATAATGGTGGGGTACACTTTGTGTCAAAATCCCGGTTTCTCTAGCAGGGGAACTGTACTCATCATTCTATTGTTTAGATATTTTTCTTTTGTTTTTAGTCAATCATCTTTCCAGTTGATATGCATCAGAAACTATTTATTGCTGTTTCTTGACATTGCTCTGCAATTAGATCAGCTACTGCCATTCTTCATAGCATATAAGTTGATTAACCAACATTAATTGATCTGAATTCATTAGTTAATGTGTTTGTTTATTTTTGATATTATGTCGATTCTGTTCAAACTTATTTTTGACTCTGATTAGCGAATATCCATCTTTATGTTACCAACAAGTATCATAAATACTTTAAAAGTCAATTTAAACCCGAGATGCATTTCGGGTTAACTTTTCTATGACATGTTTAGTAGATCTGCATAGAACTGATAATAGGCTTTGTTTACCTAGTACAATTATTTTTTGTTTGAAAGGGATAATTCTAAGTTCATTGGCTAGAGTAGCCATTCATGTCCTGTGAACAATCCGAATACTCGGTGTGGATTGGATTTGATATGACTTGAAGTCTGCGGTCAATAAAAAAAAGGCCTTTCACCAGCTAGTAGAGGAATTTTGAAGTCAATTTCGCTAGTGTTTGCAATGAATAAAGATAAGTAATGTGCGGATGCAGTGCGATAAAACATGTCTTGACTAAGATTGGCTGAAGTTTCTGTTTTCATGAGACTAAGTCAGCAGACTACAGAAAAAAGTCTTGAAATGAAGAACCGGCATAGAGTTGAATATCCTTTGGACGAATTTTGAGAAGAATTTCTCACTTAATGAAATAGAGAATAGGCTTCAAGAAAGACATAATTATACATGTGCTTGAATTGCCCGTGTTTCTAACGTTAACCTTTTGGATTTTATCTGTTTCTCTTTCTTGTTATATGTGAATTAAGGAAATTTCATAGTAATACTTTTGAGGCCTACACTTTCTAGGTATGTGGCAAGTGAACTGACAACAGACATCGTTATCACTATTGGAGATGTGAAGTTTTATCTGCACAAGGTATGCTATATGTATGATGTGTAAGCATGTAAATGTTTTCGGCACATCAGAAACATATTTTTTTAGCCCTTCCGGATTGCCTTTTTTCATCATGCATGTAAATATTTTTGATGGTACAATCGATGACAATGTTGTTGAATTTCATGGTTTCAACTTATTCGACTTTATAATGTTTTACCGAGGAAAAATTGACACTTCCATGTTAAAACAGTTCAAATTGATCTTCTTCATCCATCGTTATGATGTGAGCTACTCGCACTTGATGTTATGCAAAACAGGTTCTTAAATACTTACGAATGAAAGCTTGGATGTCTAAGCTAAGTGGGTTTTAAGTTTATTTGGATGGATGATACTTCACTTGTAATCATTAAGATTCTTTGAAGATCAATGTAACCCGTTATAGATCATACAGGGACGGAAAAAATTTCATATCTACTTTTATGACTGACAAATGGCATATAAATCATGCAGTTTCCTCTTCTTTCAAAGTGTGCCTACTTGCAGAAGTTGGTCTCAACCACTAATGAAGAAAAGAGTGATGAGATTAATATTTCCGAGATCCCTGGTGGGCTAGCTGCCTTCGAGATATGTGCCAAATTTTGTTATGGCATGACTGTCACACTCAACGCTTACAATGTAGTCGCTGCTCGTTGTGCATCCGAGTATCTAGGAATGCACGAGACTATCGAGAAAGGGAATCTCATATACAAGATTGATGTTTTCTTAAACTCCAGCATCTTCCGCAGCTGGAAAGATTCGATAATTGTTCTTCAGACAACCAAGTCCCTGCTGCCATTCTCCGAGGAATTGAAGGTGGTTAGCCTTTGCGTTGATGCTATAGCTAACAAGACCTGTGTTGATGTTTCCAAGGTTGAATGGTCTTATACCTATAACCGGAAGAAGCTTCCCGAGGAAAATGGAAATGATTTAAACTATAGCAATGTTGTCAATCGTTTGGTGCCAAAAGACTGGTGGGTCGAGGATTTGTGTGAACTCGAAGTCGATCTGTACAAGCGTGTTGTAGTGAATATCAAATCCAGAGGAATACTTTCTAACGAAGTCATCGGAGAAGCCTTGAAAGCTTATGCTTACCGAAGGTTGTCAGGTTTCAGTAAGGGGATGATCAATGGAGACTTGGTTAAGTATCGTTCAACAGTTGACACAATTGTGAGACTTTTGCCTGCAGAAAGAGGCAGTGTCTCGTGTAGTTTCTTGATGAAGCTACTGAAAGCAGCCATTACCGTGGACTCAGGAGAAATGGTAAAGGAACGGCTCATAAAAACCATAGGGCAGCAGCTTGAGGAGGCTTCTGTAAGTGATCTTTTGATACGAGCACCGGAAGGGGAAAACACAATGTATGATGTTGATACTGTGCTGAAAATAGTGGGGGAGTTCCTTATGCAAGATCAGAGTGCTGAAGTTGAATTGATAGAAGGCCCAGAGCTTCAGGCGGTGAGAAAACCAGGAATTTTATCTGTTGCTTCCAAGCTGATGGTTGCAAAACTGATAGATGGATACCTTGCTGAAATTGCTAAGGATTCCAATCTGCCATTGTCGAAGTTTGTTGATCTTGCAGAGATGGTGTCTACTGTTTCTCGGCCTGCTCATGACGGGCTTTACCGGGCTATTGACATTTATCTCAAGGTAAGAGCTTAACGAAGTTCTCATGAGATGCTCATCATTTTATTTAAGAGGGATGAATATGGCATAATGGTAATCTGTGTTTTTCATTCGTTTGCATTTCTATACAATTCCTATATCTTATTATTTGATATATGAAAGTTTATCGTAATTTACGTATTTGATATGCAGTAAGACACATTTTATTAATTTTTTTTTTATTTCACAATAGTATATTTGCATTTCCGTTTTGTCAAGCGAGGATATA